CCCCCCCCCCCCCCCCCCCCCCGGTGGAAAAGCTCGACAACGTTTTCGTGAATTGGGAGAAGTGACGAAAACCTAGAAGTTGTGTGTTAGGTTAAGGGAACAAAAAAACTGTCAGCCAAAGGTTTGGAACTTTATTGCACATAAATCTATTTTGATTTTGTATGTTAAAATAGTACAACAGGGCTGTACAAAATTATTTGAGAAAAGCATACGCCACAGACAGCACTTGAAGCACTGGGATCGTGGGTCCGAATCCCATTCGGATGTTTGCGTTTTCTGTGTCCTGTTCCATCCTAGGAATCCTACCGCTTCTTTGAATTAGGGCCTAGGATGCGTATATACAAGAGGACGAAGGGAGAGAAATGAAGGCGCTCGACAGAACAGAGGCATTTTGCTCTCTCTTCACAAGCCTTGCAGCTCTGAACGTAATAAAACAATCCAGGGCTCGCAGGAACTCGCAGCTCCTCCCTCACTGGGAAGAGCCAGTCGTCGTCTGGGGTGCTGTAGTGCTCAAGCACGATCCGTAGTGCTTCAGAGCGACATCTGAAAGAAGAAGCAAATCATTCGTGGGAAAAACGTCGTCTGCCTTTTCTAATTCGTCTTCGTTTGTAGCAGAAGGTGCAGGGACGAGAGAGGACCAGTACATGTGACGTCACAGTGCAAAGAGAAATTGAAAAGACTCCCTTATACATCGGAATGACTGTATCAAGATTCGAACGGAGATCATCCGGAAAGTATGTTTGAATCAGAAGTACAAGTTCGGAGGAGAAGGGAAGACTTGTTTGCGAGGGCGTGTTACCTGTTCCACAGAAAATGGCGCACTTCAATTTTCCGGGGTTGGTGTACGTGAGTGCGTCTGAACCGCACACCGGGTTGAACTCCGGCGTTGAGGGGCAGTCGCAGTTTGCCGCTGTCGTGGTCGTTGAAGGCGTAGTAAGCGGCGCTTCGCTCCCACCAGGTCTTGGTCTTGGCGAAGTTGCTCCATCGAATATATAAATGTCATCGGGGTCATCTGCGGCGGGGGGCAAGAACAGGTCCGGTCTGCTGTTCACGCCGCCTCCGAGTTGCCGCCGCCTGCCAAGGGAGTTCCGCGGAATCCCGCCGGTAGGCGCTCGGGGTCGAAAGTTGTTTGCGTTCACATTACGTTCTCGTTCTTTTGGGTAAAAGAAATCCGGACCCCAGGAAAAGTTTTCTTTGAATCCCAAGGCAGGTGGGCGAGAGTTGTCCTGTGCTCCTGCGTGACCATAAGCAGATGTTTGGAGCAGCTTTGTTGCTATGATTGCTGAAACACAGAGCAAATTAGGGCTAAAGAGTCGCTGCATGTCCTGAAAGAACGACACTTCATATATTCGTTGTTAAAACCAACTCCGACGCCCTCGTCTTTAAACTCGTACACCCTAGAATTAGATGCTGCCTCGCGATGTCTGGAGATGTGGAAATGCGTGGGGCGACCAGTGACCGTGTGTTGTGTTACGTCTGCCGGATCCTGGGAATAACCAGCCTTTGGCTAGTGGGATTTTTCTAGCGTCACAAGGACGTTAAACACGCTCCAAGCGACACCTTGAAGATGGCGTAGGAGGAGGGCAGGTGGAGGCATAGATAACTCCATCCATTAATCGGGCCAACAGGTGAAAGTGAGTGGTCAGCTTCGCGTTCCGACCGTTTTACCTTCGGGTACATTAGGGCCCCGCAGCCGGTCTGGAGAGACCCCGGGATCGCCACCCAGCACAACGCGAGCTATTCGTGCCAAGGTTCATTTCGCGGCCCCACACGACGTAGACGAGGAAGAAAGTTGGTCAGGATCAGTCGAGGAAAGTTTCCGTCGCTGATTCGTGAAGATGTTCAATAGGAAAATAAAGTTCGGTGAGGAGCAGTGGGTAATAATTGCAAAATGTGAGAAGATAAGTTTCTTTGTTGTTTGCAACAGAACTTACTTATGCGTAGGCTCATAATGAAAACTCTTTTCTTACGACTGACGTGGTCTAGAGGGCACTGAAACAATCTCATTATCCAGAACCGTAATTAGCGATGTCCCAGCTCTCATTAAAGAGACTCACACACCCGCCGCACAAAGAAACTAAAATACTAAAAATTGTCTTGACAATCTGCAGTCTTTATGACTATTTTGTGGGGTGCAGCGCCGCGTAGTCTTCTGGAAATTAACCGACGTTTCAGAGGTACTTGCTGCCTCAAATGATAAAGCATTTGTCACACACAAAAGCCGCAAATTAACACGGCGAAGACCATTATTTTCTGTTTGCAAGTGTCCAGCGTTGTTAACACAAGAATATGAGGTTAAAACGCAGTAGCGAGGTCATAATTCATCTGCGTGTTTAATTTCCACTGAAAATTTCTAAGCGAATTGCGTTTTGGTTTGTATCGGCCCAGTAGGACGTGCGAAATGCAAGTGCTCCAGTAACCAATGTATTTTCACTGTAGTGAGCTTGTGGTTTGTTCACGAGAAATATTTGCGCTTACCTGTCCAGGTAATGACAGCCCAGCACATCGCGACGAGAGACGTTCGCTGCTTCACTGCTCATGGGCTTGTGGCGTCCTGACACAAGCAGGTGAAGGCTTCCTGGACCTGACTGGCGACATTCCAGTTCCGTAATTAGTCATTCTGCGTTGCAAATGATCGTGAACGCCGCAGGGACTACACGTATTTCAGTGTGTAGATCGGTCAGAACCGGGCAGACCACCTCGTGCAGAATTTACCAGAAATCTTGTCCCGTGACATGATTGTGAGTGGGGGGAGATCTTCTGCTAAGAGAAACCACACACAAAAAAAACCCTTCACCAGAGCTCAAACCCAATACAACTTTTTCGCGAACGTGACCTTTGTTCTTGAAATCTCAAGCTTGAAGTAAACAGTTTTCGCCGTATCCTCGTTGTATCGCCATTTCTTTGTACGACCGGAGAAAACGTTCACAGAGACTGGATACCGGGCTAAGCATGCTGTTCCGGTCTGGGCCTGACTATTTTCCGAGCTACGTAAGCCGTTCTCATCAGGTCTCGAACCTAGGACCATTGTGGAAGAAGAAAATAATAGTTATTTTATGAAAGATTGCGCTACAGCACACACGCAAATATGATGAACCATATTTCATAGATTTATTTAAATAATTTTGTAATTGTGTCTGAGTTTCATGCAGTTGAAATAGCAGATCAGACCCATTTTTATTTGGACTCAAAATGATCCGAAGAGCACGTGGGCATCCTCTTGTGGGACATACGAAAAAGCAGAGGACCAAGTATTGAACCTTGAGGAACTCACTCCATGTTTTATGATCCCCCAATTTGAGTACGTGCTTTTGTGTGAATGTGGTGGTTTTATTTTTGTGTGTTGCCTTCTGTCATGAAGGTAAGATCTGAACCACTGACCAGCTATAGTTTGAAGTCCATAAAAATGTGGTTCTGGCGGCAATAATTAATCTTTCTAAAGAAATGTCACAAGATATTCCAGTAACATACATTTTTATTATTAATCACCAGGGATAATTGTAATCTCAGATTATCAATTTAATTTCGTGAAAGCAAATTGTGTTTATGTTGGTTATTCTGTAACTGAACTATATCAACATTGCAACCAACCAACATTTGCTAAATTTCTCTAAAGTATGTATTTAGTGTAATTATTACAAATAGAGGCAGTCTTATTGTTCATATTTATATTCATAATATTCTGATTCTTTTATTTTCTACCGTGTTTGAAACTTGTTTTGTGGTACTACTTTTCCAGAATTTAGCGTTTTACATGTAATCATGCAAGTAGTACTGTTTACAGCACTGGAAGAGGAATGTAGTTGAATGAAGTTCATGTTATAATGTAGGTATAAGTGATTAATTATATTTACTTATAACCGTTATTGTCTGTTGATACTGCCAATGTTTGGGGAGATTAATGTTAGAAAAGTGTAGGCAAGTATTCAAATGATATTAATACATTTAATCGTGAACATGCACTGGCGGCGTTATTCAGAATAAATCGTGCCGGTGGAATAACGGCGTAATGCTGCTTACTGATTTTTTTGATAACGATGCTTTCTCGATTGGTTTTGTCTTGGTAGCGTCTGATCTTACCTGGTTTGTTTATTCATGTGTGTTAAGTGTTATGAAGCTAATGCAAGTGATTTTTTAAGCTGTGCTAAATTGGTGTCCACATTAGAGTGCATGTATATGGCCCCCTCACCCATCCACAGACATTATTACAAGTCTCAAACGTTTACTGTTCCCAACGCTTGTTATTGTTTTTTTCGTAGCTTGTTTTGCAGTTGCTGAGGTTTTATAATGTTAGCTGAGATTTGTTAGTATGATTATGGGTGATGAATACTGACGAATGTGATACATTTTATGTTACTGCCCATGCGTTCACCAGGCTGGACTTGGTAATACCAGAAACTTCAAAATAGCCAATCTTTGATAAGGATTCAAATTGCATACGACTCAGATGTGATTTGCATTCCTTACCATTAGCAAACCTGCACGATATCCCATCCTTATATGATGCCATGTAGCATCAGTAGTTGGTATCTGTTCCTTAGGACAGGATGTGCAGGTTGTTTTCAGTATTTATGTAAGTATTTTTGTAATTTGTGATGAAACACTGAAATTGTACTAAAATGTGCAAACTATTTGAAGAGTTGGAATTTTAATTTTGATGAACAACTTTATATTCTTGTAATTTAGTAAACCTCAGTTGTTAATTATTTTTTGGTAACACAAACTAAATGGTTTAGAAATGTAGCACTTTGTAAATCATGTCACATTAAACGAACTTCATACCACTAAAATACAGAATAAACACTGGAGCAAGAATTTAGAATTGTGGTTATGTGGGTCAATAATCTGCTGCCAGAATTTTGGGAGAACAGTTGTGATAATAATGTTTGATTGGGTAGTAGATCACCTCCAAGGGGTATTATGCAACTTCGCAAGAGAGGTGACATAAATAGAACCATTTAAATTATGAAAGTAACACCAGGAATTTGAGATATATTCCAACATTATCAGAACATGAATGCTTTTTACTGACATAACATCTGTTTCATCAGCATCTGTCAGGATTCTAAAGATACTTCAAAATGTTTAAGTTGTTCTTGAAATAAATTAAAGGAAATAACACTCACGATGTTACTTTTGTAATAGAAGAACCTTAAGTTATATATATTATATTGTTCTATAGCATGACTTCGTTACAGAGGTGCATGAAAATTGGTCACTCAGTTTAAAAGTTAGGGCAACCTACACAGGTGGAAATGATTATCTTGTAAAGTGTGTTAAGTAAGTTACAAAGGTGAGTCCAAATTGGGGATAGTTTTAAATTGCTTTAGACAACATAATATTGTTATTCTTAAGTATGAAAGTACTATATATATGTCTTCTCCAATTTTATTTCAGATATACCAGTCATCTCGCTCTTTTAAACATTACTTAAACTTGCCATCATGACTGGAAGTAGCAAAGTTGTGCAGATTACTAATATTGCACCTCAAGCCACACGGGATCAAATGCAAACATTATTTGGTTACCTTGGCAAGATAGAAGATATAAGACTATACCCAACTATACGTGATGTGGCAGTACCTGTTCAATCACGGATATGTTATGTAAAATTTCATGATGCCGTGTGTGTAGGAGTTGCACAGCACATGACAAACACTGTGTTCATAGATCGAGCCCTTATTGTTGTCCCATTCCAATGTGGTGAAATTCCTGATGAACAGAGAGCTTTGGAATTAACCAATCAGGGAACAATGGTACCTGGTCTGTTTCCAGTAGAACCTAAACTTCCCCCACATGTGATTAATCATTTAGAAGGTCTCCCTCCAAATCAGGTTGTCACAACTCATGATCCCCGACTAGCATCCAATGGATTACCTGTATATCCACGTCTTCCAGCAACTTTGGATGGTAGGCGGATAGAAGAGATACGTAGGACTCTCCTTGTGGCTGGGATTGAAAATTCACTTTCAACACAGCAACTGATTGATTTCTTTTCGACTGCTGGGGAAGTTAAATATGTTAGATTTTGTACTAGGGAAGGTGATGTAGATCGTTATGCTTTAGTGGAATTTTCAGACCAAAACAGCATAATTTCTGCACTGCAAATGAATGGGAAAGAATTCAATGGTAAGAACATTAAAGTTTATCACTCAACACAAGCAATAGTTAAACCCCAGGCAAAAAGCAATGAAGCTGCTCAGAGAGAAATAGAGGAGGCCATGTCTAGGGTTAAAGAAGCCCAAAATCTTATATCTGCTGCCATAGATCCTGTAATTGGGCTTCTTGCTAAAGAGAAAAAGAGGAGTCGTAGTGGTTCTCGTTCTCGACGCTCTCGATCACCTTCACGAGGTAGACGAAGGTCTCATTCCCATAGTCGGCGGACACGGTCAAGATCAAGGAGGCGCTCCCGAAACCGGGGGCGTTCTCGTTCCAGATCAAGGAGATCACGGTCCAGGTCTAAACACTCGCGTACCCGATCTCGAGATCGGAAGGGAAGGTCCCGAAGCTCAGGCCGCCGTCGTCGAAGTCACTCAAGGTCTCGGTCTCATAGCAGAAGACGTTCAAGATCTAAATCAAGTAGATCACACTCCAAATCAAAGTCTAGCTCAAAGAGTCATGATAAATCAAAGGATAAAAAGGATGATAGAAAGGAAAAGAAGGATGAGAAGAAGGAAAGAAAAGATGAGAAGAAAGAAGAAAAGAAAGAAGATAAAGAAGAGAAGGACTCCAAGAAAGAGAATGCTAAAAAAGATAGTGACCCAGAGGGGAAGTCAAATGAAACCAATCATGAAAATGAATCTGCTGAAGACACCACAACTCAGATTTCTGAAGGTAAGAAGGAGAGTGAGTCAGATAAGGATAAAGAAAAAGATACAGAAAAATCTAAAGAAAAAAGCAAGGATAAGAGTAGAGACAAAAGTTCTCGTGAGAAATCCAAGTCTGTGAGAGGCTCTTCAAGATCTCCTTCTAAATCTCGACATCGTTCACCCACGCGTCGAAAGAGTAGATCCCCACCAACAAAGAAGAGTAGATCACCTTCTCGTAGGAAGAGCCCTCATTCTAGGCGCAAAAGTCATTCTCCATCCAGACATAGAAGTAGTTCTCATTCCAGAAGAAGGAGTAAATCCCAGTCTCGTTCTGGTCACAGCAAACATTCTCCATCTAGAAAACGTTCTAGAAGTCGATCAAAAAGCAGACGTGATGGTGACAGGAAGAGAGACAAAGAAAAGAGTCATGAGTCAGACAAGAAAGATAGGGATAGTGAAAAAGAGAGAAAGAAGCGGGACAAGAAGGATACACTGGAGAGAGAAGGTGAGAAACCGGCAGTCACTAAAGTTCCCCGAAATTACGATGAAGAAGAAGAGGGATTTGATACTGCTGATAATGATAAAGATGGCAGTGAACAGAGCGAAGGAGATAGAAGTATTGGAGAGG